TACACACACTAAAAAAAAAACACATCATGGTAAAATCGATACATTCCTCGCTCCGCTCAGATTCTAAAATATTTATAAGCATCTAAAGTTTGGATGAATTATATAAGCCTGTCAGCCTGTGACTTGAATATTTTACAYGGTGCTTAAAAATATGACGCAGCTAGGGAGATATAGGGCACAGACTCCACTCAAAATATAAACAAATTTCATTTGAAATTTGAAAATTTGCTAGTTAAAGAAAGTCATAATTATAATCTATCCTCCTCCACTCACCACCAAAATATTTTGCTTGTTATTGCCTTGGTTAGCTTACTGTTTATTTTCTATTTATATACCTACCCATAGGCCATAATGTGCCAAATTTGTGTTCAGCAGAACCAATTTAATGTTGCTACTGGTCAGTTAGCTTTAATATAGATGTAACCGACCTAACATTAAACTTAAAGTTAAGAACATAATTTGTGCTTATAACATTAGTTTGATAATGATATTTTAATTTGTATACAATATAATTCTCTTTATACAATTATTATTGAACTTAATATCATTTTGTTTTCTTTTTGTTAAATATCTTATTTAACAATGATAACAACTATTATTTAATATTTTAAGTATATTAATGTAACTCCCCGTAAGGCTGTAACACCACAAGAAATTCTGAAAGGTGATAGGTATTGTTGCAAAATCGATAAATTTAATAAAATAAATAAATAATAAGCATCTTCAAATTGTAATATTTTACAAACTTATAAGTTATAAGTTGCATGAAAATTGAAATGTAGCAAAAAAGTCAACTTTAAGTTGTATAATAGGTAGTAAATTTAATATTAAAGCTAACACAGATTGGTTTTGCTGAACATGAATTTAGTATGTTGCGCACCACACAGATATTAGAAGTAAGTTTAAAGATGAAAATATTACATTTTATTATTTAATGTGTAATTAAATTTAAAACATTAATCAGCTTAAGGAAACATCACTCTATAAACAAGGGTTTTTAGGATAGGGGAAAAAAAAAGGTCCAGTTCATACCAAAATGTGACAAATAAATAAATACTAAAATAAAATTGTATACATAATGTTGAAATTATTATTTTTAAACACTTATTATAATTTTGTATATTTTAATGAACACATTTTCAAAATTGAAAGGTTTCCCTCTTACCATCACAAAAATTAAGGTCCAGGTTAGATGATGAGATGCTTCTGTGAATAGGTGTATAATTATAACATCATGTAAACAAAAAAAAAATATAATTCATGTTTATTTTAAAGTATGGAACTATTTCAGTCCAAGAATATAATTTAAAAATTGTATAATGCTCATTATAATTGGTCCCCAAGCCACAAACCAACGTAACCAATCCAATAGTTGACCATACAAAACATGAGGTTTTTCCCATCTGAACAATTAAAAGTTAAGGAAAAATAAATATCATATTAAAATTTATGTATAACACATATTTTATAACAATTAAAAAAAGTGAATTGTCTTTATCAGAATAATAATAGAGACTTACCATCAAAACATAGATGATTTAATAYGTAACAAATATTTCAAATGAACTTTATGTATAATTAAATACAAAATATTAAAATAATTCAATATTTTATTCTTAACATTTTATTAAATAATAATATATTTTATTCATTTTATTTTTTGATACTTAAAATGTATTGTTAATTTTTAATTGCCTGGATAATTACATTTAGTTCATCATATAAATCAGGGCTTTGAAACTAAATCAATCCATCATCCAAAAACAGGTATAAAAATTAAATATTTAATCCCGGTATTCAGTACTTTCAACGCAGTTATTCATTTTTTTTATCGATGAAATGTATTAGCATTGAATAGTTATCAGGGCAAAATCTGATCATCAAAGAAAATAAACATTTTTAATTTACATTTTCAGTATTCAAAAATATATTATTTGTGCATAAATTATAATTAAAACACAAAGTATCGACTCTAGTTTTTAATACACAAATTAATGATAACTAAATAAGAGCCTAAATCAAAACCAAGAATTCAATTATTCAGGTTCAAAGCCTTGATGAATTTAAATAATAAATTTAGAAGAAAAAAACGTTCTACCGACTGCGCAGTTTAAACCATTAGTATCATTGAAAAATAGAATTAACGACCTAAAATGTAAACACAAATTCAGATTTTAATAATTTTATGAGTAAGGTACTAAGATGTAACTATTTATCTTCATTGTTAATAACAGTTTTACACAAAAAATATTATTCAATATACAGAATGTCCCATGAGGATATACCCATTAACCATAGAGGGGAATTTGCTGCCTGGATAAAAACCAGTTTTTTGCCGTTTTATCTATAAASTGAAAAAAATATTAAAAATCATGAGATAAATGAAAATAAAATGTTGAAAGGTTAAAATTTTCAGAAAAATAAACTATAAAATAGGAATCTTTATTTTTTTCAAAAATTAAAAAATTAAATATATGTAGCCTTTGCCTATGTGAATAATAAAAAAAACAGATTTATGATATATTTATTATCTCAGGAGATATTGCAAATGGTAAATTCACGTAGGACACCCTGTATTATATTGAATTATAATTGAGCAACTGAATTGTGTAACAATGAATATAACATCTGATGGAACTATAGTTTTAACCTTTGAATGTTCAACTTAATTGTTAGTATTATCATAACAGAAATTGAAAATGAATAAATCATTATTAATCACAGAGCAATTATTTAAAATATATAAATGCTTTATTACTAGGTATAAGTTTTCCTTTTAAGAGGATGTGATTCCCGCAAGTGTCTTCTCTGTCTTATAAGTGCGTAACAGAAAATGTTATGCTCAGTAGAACACGTGTAGCTCTGTTAGTTTAAAATTTAGAGTGAATTGACCTCTAATAAAATTTAAAGTTAAGATTATTATCTAGGGTTTCTCATAGGCATTTTATTACATTTTAATTTTAAAGCAAGTTATGAGTTTTTTAAAATAATACATTTTTTGTATACCTATCTTAAGATACTCCTAACTCGCACTTACTTACCCACAACTTATGCAATTGTAAGACAKAAACAATACTTGCAGATGTGAGGTCCTCTCAATGGTAACACGGTATACTATTCATAAATTATTATCATCCTATTAATAGCATAATATATTATTTAATGTTTTTAATTCACAAACAATGAAATTGTATACAAAACTAATGTACCAACATGTTTTCATAGATTATGATGTCCATAAATTTACATATTCAAAATTAATAAAAAGCGGGTAAGTCGTGTATGTCGCTCTGCTGTACAGTAGGTTACAAGTGGGTTACTGTAATGGATGGAATTAAATTTGAATCCAATGATATTATATCATTGTATACAAAAAACGATTCTGAGCGAAGACGGTTTATCTGTCTAGGATATATTATAGATTATTAAAAATTTTCAAATCTTAGATTTAAAAAGAAAATTTTTTATGAATTTCTAGTTTGAAATAATTTGCGAATTTTCGTGATTTTTACATATAATGTCAAAATTAAAACTTTGAATGCTTGTAAAAAAAAATTGTGACTACGCATTTATTTTATTTTTCAATTTTTATTGTAAATCGCTCCGCTCAGAATCTAAAACTATGTTATATGATCATAATAAATATACGTAATTTCTCTTTTTAAAATGTTTCTTCTTAAATATCTTTATAATAAAAAGGATACGGGTTACGGAACATTCTTTTTAAATCAACTTTCTCCTTACAATACGGACATGTTTGTTTTTTACCAACAATACACCATCCCCGAATACAAAATTCATGAAATCTATAATTTCAAAATATAATATTTTAAATACAATTTCAACAATTTTTAAATAATTTTTAAAAAACTTACGTATGATCACATGTTAATTGGAAAGTAGACTCAATTATACCTTCTTCGCCAGCATTAACTAACAATTTGTTACCGCACACAGCACAAATATTTTTATCCAAATTTCTAGTTGGCATTCCTTGAGGCGTATAATACTAATAATATTAATGCAAAAATAAATAATTAACAATACTTAGATCAGAGGCGGTTTGAATATATTATACTTAGTGGTGCAAGACAATATAAAGATACCCACTCACTCCCCCACCCCCACCGCGATCATAATAGAAATTACAAATAAATAATTTTTAAGAAGTTTATAATTTATAATTATAAGGCCCTTATATTCTTAACTCGACGCTTTCAACAGTTTCAGCCACGATTATCATTTATCATATGTCATTGATTAGGTAATTTATTACTTTTTTCATTTATTGAACATTAAAATTAAACATTGCGGTCAGCACATGCTCAACTAAGACCACCCACCCCTTTAACATTGGAGGTGCAGTGCACCAATAACAGTATACTCAAACCGCCTCTGACTTAGATGATGAGATTACATATCAATTGTCTATAACTAAAGACCGGATTTTACATATAATGCATGTTCATATTTTTATAAGCAATTACATGCAGTAAATGTGTTTTCATCAATCATATTTAAATAAATAATATAACAAATTTTTATTTTGCATATTTTATAATATAAAAACGCATGTTTTTGCATAGTTCGTATAAACTAAGTATAAATTTAATTTAATTTTATAATTGTATGTACAATATTATAAATTAATTATGAATTGAAAATATTTTTAAAAATAAAATATTTCGTTAGGTATTCACTATTCATTGCATACTGATTTTCCTATCGTATATTTTTATCTTATCGATTTTGTCTAACATTATTGACTTATTGTCAATACTACAGAACACGAACTGATAGCCTGACGACTGTAGTTCGAAGAGTACATTCGGCAATAGTCAACAACCAAGGTACTGTAAAAATGTGTACATTTTGTATAACATTGTTTGAGTTTGTTATTCTACAATGCCAAAGTGTCTAAGTTAGAAATTATCATCACTTAGAAAATTGATTGAACCGTATAACAAATCAGGTGAGGTGTTCAAAACATTAAATAATAATTCAGTTTTTTGTCAATATTGTAATAAAGTAGTTGTAGTACAAAAAAAATTTCAAATTGATCAGCATGTTCAGTCATTTTCTCACGAAAAATATTCGAAAACTCCAACTTCTAAACAAACATTTGTTAATCAATAGTCAACATCTGGTGAAAATCATCAGTATTTTTCCAAGACCTTTGTTAAGCTTAGATTGCTTCTAACATACCACTGCATAAATTACAAAACACCAATTTCACATCTTTTTTGTTAAAATATACTCATCTACATATAGCTAGTACCCTAAGGAAGAATTATGTAATCAAATGTAACACAGACATTTTAAAAAAAATACGAGAAAATATAGGAAGTTCATTCATATATTTTTGTATCAATAAAACTATTGACTCGCGAGGCAAATATATGACAAACTTTATAGTTGGAAAATTAAATGTTGATTTACCATTAAAATCGTATCTTTTAGCATCTAAAGTACTTGAAAAAACAAATAATAATACCATTGATTCTATAATCAATGATAATACCATAGAAAATTTGGAAGTTTATCTGCATACAAATATATTCTCACAAACCGCTGTCATAATTTAACCGAGGTTAATATAAAATATATTATTGTTATAAATTAATATATATCGAATAAATTGTATATTTTTTCATTTTAATTCATTTTTATCATCATTATATAATATAATATTGTAGTTTATTTATTTTTGCATAATTTATATTTTGATTTTATAACTTTACAATAAATAAATAGCTGTAGAACAGTGGCGTAGACAAGGGGGCATGGGGGTCAGATCCCCCCCATTAGCTTTATTTTTTGTTTTTGCTTACATTATGTAGTATGCACTATAATGTAATATTTTTTCATATTGTGAATTTTGATCTATCGAGCTATTGAATTTTGACAGTTTTTTCAATATACTGATTACTGAATAACATTATAATTTTATTTTCGTTTATTTATAGCAAATTAGCAAAGTAAACAGTAATATTTATTTGGTCGAAATGGTCGATGACGATTGACGACTACGATTATGCTTTATTATAGCTTATCTTATTATTTATAGAGACAACAATATACAGTGTATTATATATATAATATGTATGACGTATGTCTATAAAATTACGTTTACACACTTTGAATTTTTCAATATTATAAATATTTAAAATTTATTTTTTATTAATTTTATTAGACTTTAAATAATCATGCTAAACATGAATACCATAAACATTAAACTAGGTACCTTAGAAAAAAATTTTGAGAGGGTGGGGAATTTTCCAATTTTCACCTCACATATAGTTGTTGTTTTTTTTTTTTTTTGATCCTCTCCCTTTCAGAAATCATATGTCTATGCCACTGCTGTAGAATTAAAAACTATTTTGCATGTTTGTCATTTTAGATTCTGAACGAAGTGATG